ACATTCAGAAATCTACCAACAATAGATGCTGGAGAGGATGTGGAGAAAAAGGGACACTAACCCACTGTTGGTGGGAATGCAAATTGGTTAAGCCACTATGGAAGTCAGTCTGGAGATTCCTCAGAAACCTGAATATAACCCTACCATTCAACCCAGCCATCCCACTCCTTGGAATTTACCCAAAGGAAATGAAATTGGCAAACAAAAAAGCTGTCTGCACATTAATGTTTATTGTGGCTCAATTCACAATATCTAAGACCTGGAACCAACCCAAATGCCCATCAACAATAGACTGGATAAAGAAACTGCGGAACATCTACTCTATAGAATACTATACAGCTGTCAAAAACAACGAAATCCAGTCATTTGCAACAAGATGGAGGAATCTGGAAAACATCATGCTGAGTGAATTAAGCTAGTCCCAAAGGGACAAATATCATATGTTCTCCCTGATTGGCGACAACTAACTGAGCACCAAAGGGGAAACCTGTTGAAGTGAAATGGACACTATGAGAAACAGTGACTTGATCAGCTCTTGTCCTGACTGTTGATGTACAATGTAATACTTTATCCATTTTAGTATTTTCTCTTTGTTTTGTTCTAGTACTATTGGTTGAACTCTGTGATTAACACACAATTATTCTTAGGTGTTTGAATTTTAACTGAAAAGTGATCCCTGTTAAATATAAGAGTGGGAATAAAAGAGCGAGGAGATGTACAATTTGGGACATGCTCAATCGGACTTGCCCCAAAAGGTGGAGTTAGAATCATGCCGGGGATCCTAATACAATTCCATCAAGGTGGCATGTACCAATGCCATCTCACTAGTCCAAGTGATCAAATTCAGTTCACAATTGATCACACTGATAGGTCTAAGAGTCAAAGGGATCACACAAACAAGACTAGTGTCTGCTAATACTAGCTGATAGAATCAAAAAGGGAGAGAATGATCCATCATGGGAAGCGGGATACACAGCAGACTCATAGAATGGCAGATGTCCTAAATACCACTCTGGCCTCAGAATCAGCCCTTAAGGCATTCTGATATGGCAGAAGAGCCCATGAGAGTATTTTAGGCATGGAAAGCCAAGACACCCTGGAAAAAAAAAAAAAAGAAGACCACCTAAATGAAAGATCTCTGCGAGTGAGGTCCCAGTGGAAAGAATAGGGCCATCAAAGAAGGAGGTACCTTTCTCTGAAAGGAGGGGAGAACTTCCACTTTGACTATGACCCTGTTGGAATAAGATCGAAGTCAGCGAACTCAAAAGGCTTCCATAGCCTTGGCAACTCTTGACTAGAGCCTAGGCAGATTACTGATGCCATAAACAAGAGTGTCAAATTGTTAAGTCAACAACAGGAGTCACTGTGTACTTACTTCTCATGTGGGATCTGTCCTTAGTGTGTTGTCCAATGTGAAGCAATGCTATAACTAGTACTCAAACAGTATTTTCCACTTTGTGTTTCTGTGTGGGTGCAAACTGATGAAATCTTTACTTAATATATACTAAATCGATCTTCTGTATATAAAGATAATTGAAAATGAATCTTGATGTGAATGGAATGGGAGAGGGAGCAGGAGATTGGAGGGGTGTGAGTGGGAGGGAAATTATGGGGGGGCATTGTAATCCATTAACTGTACTTTGGAAATTTATATTTACTAAATAAAAAATAAATAAAAAAATAAAATAAAATAAATATGAAGTAGAAAATTAATATTGTTACTTAATATTTGAGGATTATTAAACAGAAATCAAGGTGTCAGCAGTGTGAGGAAAGGGTAAAATACACTTTGAAAAGAAAGAAGAAAATAGTAAGTGACTGGATAGCGGGCTGGAAAATAAAGGACTAGAGAAATGCAGTATATTGCTGGGCAGCACTAAGCATACACTTGTGCACCTCTTTATTTTTCATTTTATTTGAATGAAAGAGGAAGAAACAGACAGACAAAGATTGTTCATCTACTGGTTCACTCTCCAATGACTGTGGCAGCCAGAGCAGAGCCAGGCTGTATTCTGGAGCTGGGACCTCAGTGTGGGTCTCCCACTTGGGTGGTAACTACTTCAGCTATCACCTGCTGCCTCCCAGGGGGTGCATTAGCAGGGAACTGGGATTTGGACTCAGACAGAGGTACTCCAATATGGGAGGAAGCATTCTAGTCAGTGCCTTAATTACTGTGATACACACCTGCCTCAATCAGTCTATATAAAGTAAAATAATATTTAGATCTATCTCATATTACACAAGGCTGGAAGAAGAGCTGGGTTCCATAAGAAATATAAATTATAATTAATAAAATAAGACAATAATTTGGTCTCTCTCTCATTAAATGTGCTAGCTTTTGTGTATGTTGTTATTCGTGTATCACCATCATTCCCTTGAGCCCCTTTGCTTGCCAAACATGTATAAGACCCCAACATGCTTGCTCTTGTCTCAGCCCAGAGCTCCAGAGACCTCCATCACCTGGCTGGGTCTTTTGTCTTTCTTAGATAAATTCCACAAGACACAAAATGAATCAAGGCTCAAATCAAGGCTTATTTTGTGCTTCAATCAGCTAGAATCAGAAATGAGAAGTCAGCTAACCAAAATTTAATGGCCACCCAACCCCATTCCTTCAGTTAAATGTAGGGAGGAGAAATAACTCCATTGAAAAAGGCCTAACTGCATGGAAGTTTGTATGTAAAATTTTTACATTAAGAATGATGTCCTTAAATAAATACACAGAAGAGATCAGGTGACAAAACAAATATTAAATATTAAAAATTTGTATCTGCTTTTTTGTCAAATACTCCCTTTCTGATTCAGTTAACCTTTCATAATTCTAATTTCTAAAAAGCTTTTTTTGGAGTGCCTATTAGCACAAAGCACCATGTCCTTCACTGCACAGATGAGCCTGACAAGCATGAAATAATATTTAACAGTAAAATTTAATTTTGAAGAAAATGTTAAAAAGCTGGAAAGTATCCCTGATTGCAAAATGAAATCTGTTAAGTACAAAAAAGTTTTGAAGGTATCCTATTTTTTTCAGTGAAGTTTAATGAATACTTATTCCACTTTATTAGACTTGAAAAGTAGATAACAGGCAAAAGTAACAGGAGAAAACTGAAACATAATATATTAATGGCATCTTTCTTTTTAAGATCTTTTTTAGTTGCACATTATATGTGTTTGTATATTTAGAAATCAAGTCAGTACATAAGCAAAGAGAGAAGAGAAAAGACTTCCAACTTCATCTCTGACTACCCTAAACCCCATAGCCCTCTGCAGAGGAAAATATAGTGAACCGTTTAGGCTGAACTCTTTCAATTATTTTTCTAGGTTAGGTTTATTTTCTATTTCATTTTTCTTCATTTTTCAACTTGCCCTTCTTTCTTTATGGTGATGACTCCCTGTCAGTATCCTTGGTAAGTTATATATTGAACTCTAATGGTCTTGCATCCAAGTCCTATAAAGATATTCTTAATAATATCCCAATGATCCAATCTCTTAGGACTCTCATATTTCATCCATTTTTTTAAGAGCAGACATTTTATGGACTGGTGAAGCAATCATTTAGAAACATACATCTCTGAAGCCATAATCATTTTATAATTTGTTCTGCCTCACAAACAACTACAGCTAGTCTTCCAGAAGGACAATCCTTTAAACCAAATCTCCAGCATTAAAGCCGCTTAGGGCTATTTCAGATAATGGGAGCTGTCCAGTCTGTGATGTGTTCCGTCCCTTCATTTAGGGAGGATCTGTTGTAGTAATAATCGACTTGAAAATGAACTCAGCACTAGAAATGCAGCAGGAAATAATGGAACTTACAAATTTATTGGAAATTTCTTTTTGAAGGTCAGAGAATATATCAACCTCAGTAAAAATATGTGTTTTTAAAAAGTATATTGCATTCTCATAAGACCCCTTTGGAAAGTTTATGGGACTTTCATCTCAAAGAAACTAAAGATGCTCAATAAAAAAATCTACTTTATAGATTTGTCTAAATTTCTGAAACAATTCACAAAATGCAATTTTAAAAAAAATCTCTGGAGATGTGTCCCAAAAAGAAAAAGTTCTCCAAAAATATGTTCTTAATGGACCTTATAGTAAGGGATAGTTTGATAGACTTATACTCTATCATTTAAGGGTTATATCACCTTGAATAGTTATTGGAATTTTTCTCATTATCAAATTCCTCTTTACATGGAAAATAACAATATCTATTTTACAAGCAATGTTAGCATAGTCTGAATGTGCACTCTCCAATTTCCTATGATGAAATCTAATCTCCAGAGTGATGGCATTTGGAGGTGGGCCTTTGGGAGGTAATTAGGAACATGAGGATACAGACCTCAGGAATGATATTCATGTCCTTTATAATGGGCTGAAGAGACCAGTTTTTCCCTTCCATGATATGAGAACACAAAAGCAAAGTGCCTTTCTGTGAACAAAGAAAGTGGCCCTCATCAGATACCAAAATCTGCCAGTGTCTTGATCTTCACCACCCCAGCCTCCCAAGCTATAAGAAATAAATTTCTATTATTTATAAGCCACCCAGTTAATAACATTTTTGCTATAGCACATGAATGGACTACAATACTGTTATAATACACGCATAGCAGTGGCTTTCCCAAATGCCTGGTCCATCATTGATTTCAAGTAGTACAACAAATGTCAGCTCCCAAGTATATCAGCAAAACTTCACCCCACACATCTGCCTTATTGCTCAGTTTTCCAATCTCAGGATTCATTCTGATACAAGATTTCTCAGGCTTTTATAGGAATGTCTAGAAATATTGCAGTGTTAACACCTATAGGAGCAACCCTCAGCCAATGAGGAATAGGAACTGTTGGACAACTGTCCCTGTATTCTGTCCTTTAGAAGAATACTTCTGAAGCCTGTTCAATTTAGTTCCCTGGGATGTCCCCAGAAGAATTGACGATCCAGTGACTGATAGAAATATATGATTCAAAAATGTGCCCTTAATTAGCATCCTGGAATCACCCCTCCAATAAATTACCTTCACCCAGATTCCTGTCCCACATTTTGCTATGGTGTAAAACCCGAGATGATGTGTAAAGCACTTTCAGCAGTGTCCAATGTGAGATTCATGGTCAGTTCATGATGGTCTCCTTCCTTACATCTCTTCAGTGATGTTATTCAGTCTACTGGTGAAGCAGCTTTCCAATTCTTAACAATGACTCTAAACAACAACAACAAAAAACAGTGTTCTAGATCTAGTCATATGTGACTACCGAGGACTTGAAATGCAGCAAATACAAATTGAAAAGTGCTAATAGTGTAAGCTGCAAAACAGATGTCAAAAACTTTAGAATCAAAAATACTTTAAGAGCCTCATGAATAATTTTTATACTGGTAGTTGAAATTACAATACTTTGGATAGAACATATTAAATAAAATGTATTATTAATATTAATCCCACTTGTTTATTCTTACATTTTATAACAGAGCTATGATATCTTTTGGATTACATTAGTGGCTTGAATTGTTTCTATTGAACATGCTGCCCTAGACCTTGTGGGAATGAGACACTATGAAGGGAAATATGAGAGAGAAAGAGAGAGAGAGAGAGAGATGACAGAGAGAATGTATGTGTGACCCAGCATATTTAACAAGAAGTTTAGGGACCTGTGTTGTGGCATAGCAGGTTAAGCTACCATCTGTGAAGCCAGCATCAAATGTAGGTGCCAGTTCGTGTCTTGGTTGCTCCAAATCCCGCCTAATGGCCTGGGGAAAATAGCAGAAGAAAGCCCAATTATTTAGGACCCTGCTACCACACACACAGAAGATGGGATGAAGCTTCTGGCTCCTGGCTACAGTTGGTCCAGCCCTGGCCATTTCAGCCATCTGGTAAGTGAAGCTCAGGTGAAAAATCTCTTTCTATCTCTGTAACTCTGACTTTCAAATAAATGAATAAATTCTAGTTTTGAAAAATTTGTTTTATACCTTTGTGAAACTAATGGTTAATGTTATACTACTATAGTTTCAGAGATCTGTGATTACTTTAAAGTTTACTGTATATGGGTAAAATGGTCATTATTCCACTCAATTATTGTTTATGGCCACTTGACTAGGGTCTTTTGGTGTTTTACTTGTTAAACTTCTTATTTAGCAAAGTATTAAGCCTTTCTACTGTAATGTAAATTTAAAATATGTTATCTCAAAAACTAAGGAAAAAAGAAAGAAAGGGAGAAAGGAGATTGGAAGAAAGAGGGAGGGAGGGAGGGAGGGAGAAAAAAAAGGAATGTCATTATGTTCTTAGAATTGCATCTACAAAGCACATTGAATCTGTTAAAATCTAATTAAAACTTTCAAAATTAAAGCACAAAAAATAAAAATTAAAAAACCAAGATGTTTAAATATAAGCCACTGGAAATTTAAACTAATGTAAGCAAGAAAGATTTTGTTGAAAATTAAGGGGCTCCAAAACCTGATTCAAAGAATCAAGCTTAGATGCTTCACAGCCAGGCACTATTTTATACATGGTTTGTAAACTGGATCCCGTCATTGCCAATCCTGTATCTACATCCCTTGCTTTGTGACCTTGGAGCTCCTTCCACTGAGAGCCAGCATACGTTTTCTACCCTTTTATATGTAACTGGACTTCCTTTGGCAAAGATAATGTAACAGAAGTGATGGCCATATCCATTCTGAATGTAGGCTCCATGAGGCCTCTCCTTCTTGGAACTCATCCGAGCTGTTATGTGAATGAACCCAGGCTAGCCTGATGGGTGATAGAGACACGTGGTCCAGTTGTCTCCAACTGCTGACAGCTAACCAAATCCCCAGATGTCTCCCCGTACAATAGGCGATTGCTAACACATGCATAAATCCAGTGTTGCCCAGTTCAGATTGCTGTTTGCACAGAATCATAAACCAAATAGACAATGAAGTTATGAGATGACATGTGTAAAAGATAAATCCAGAGACTAGTTAAAGCAGAAAGGATAGACTTTATTGAGTAAAAACAATTGCAAAGTGAAAGCATATCTAGCATGAACTGAACTTAACCTTGATTTCTTCAGAGATGATCAGGGAGGCAGGGAAGTGATAGAGGACAGGCATTTGGCCTAGTTGTTAAGACACTGTTTAGGATGCCTACATCCCATATTAGAGTGCATGGGTTCAAGACCCATTCTTAATTCAACTTCTTGCTAATATATCCCCTGAGAGTATGGTGATGGCTCAAGTGATTGGGTCCCTGCCATCTATATGGAAGACATGGACTGAGATCCCAGGTCCTGGATAGAGCCTCGCCCAGCCCCAGCTACTGCAGGCATTTGAGGCGTGAACCTGCAGATGGCATCTTGCGTTCTCTCTCTCTCTCTCCCTCCCTCCCTCCCTTTGTATGTATGTGTGTGTGCATGTGTGTGTGTTTAACCTCTCAAACAAATAAGCAATTCTTTTTTTTACAAATAGGTATTAGGAAGGAAAGAAGAAGCAGGGGCTCCTTGAGCAGAGACTGTGATTGATAAATGGTGCTTATCCGGAGAAGTAAATATCTCGTATCTTGATTATAGGAACTAGGAGTATGAGTTAGAGCAAAGGACACATCATGCTGAAAGGGAGAGTGAAAGTTACCTCCCTGAACATTTGTATTGCAAAGATGGTTCTTAGGTATGTGAGAAGACAGTTTGGGGCAACAGAAGGTCTATATCTCCAGGGGAGGAGAAAGGAATTACAACTACAATCTTTCCAAAGAAATTGCTCTAAGAGGAGCAATTCAGAGGCCTATCGGTCTATTGCCAGGTTTCAGTTAGAACAAACAGTAATTCTCCTGACAGCCTTGAGATTTCTCAGGCAGGCATTTTAAGGGAACTAGAGCCATTCTCATGCTGCATCCTTGAAATGTTGGAAATTTCATCAGTGTTTTTTCCAGTGATTTTGGTGTGGAGGTAGGGCAGAGGAATGAGCAAACTAATTTGTGCTGAATCTGCAGTTTTTATAAGCATAAGATGAGATCTGGTCATAAACAGGGATAAGAGGGTCTAAAGTTCGGTCAAGAAGAGAGTCTTTGTCACTTAGGTTTGAGACAGTTTCTTACACAGCAAAATCTAATCCAAGATCTAATGTCTCAAATCAAGCCACAGGACTGATATAGAGGAAAATCCACCATTTCCCCCTCTAGACCCAGAAATTATAGCTTTCCAAAGCTGATGCCTAATTATAGACGTGGCACTGTCACAAGAAAGGTCATGAAAAATGTAACTTCCACCAACTGCTGCCACACTCATTGGGATGGAGTCTTTATAGTCCATGTTTTTTGGTTATCACTACCCTTAATCCAAAGTGTGATTTATGGAACCTGAGTCATATGCCCACAACCTAGCTTCACATTGGCATCTTCTGTCTTTGCAATGCATATAGGTTCTGTTCAAAAACATAGGGAGGAACCCAAGAAGGTATCCAATGTGGGAAGGGTGTTCAGATTCTAGCTCATCAAAATAAAAAAAAATGTGATCATATGTATCATAACATTGCACATTTCTCTTGTTTACTGATGCGAGAACCATGCCTGAAACAGTCTTCTTCCTTCTCTAATTTAGAGCTTTCTCTTTACTTTCACCATGAAATCTTTAACTTTTCCCTTTCCCAATGTTGGCCAAGTCAGAAAAATGCACAGAGGCATGAAATCAGGTCAAGGAATTAGCAGCCCCACTCTTTCTTTACTTCTTCATTGGTCACATATCTTAGCATCAAGAATGTTTCAGCCAAAGCGGCTAAAATCTTTTATTTAATCTCAAGTACCTGGGATAGTGCCTAAAGACATACTAAACTCTCTGTACACAAATAAACCAGAGATTCCATGAAAGGAAGAAATGAGAGGTTATAGAAAGGTTGGTGTCAGATTATAAAAGATCTTGATATAACTTATCCCAGAGGTAATATACTGTCATTGAAGGCCTTTGTATTATTTATTAGAAAGATTCATATGAAATCTTTATGTAGGATGCAAAAAGGGTATGATATAGATTCTGCTTATAGCAACCTGCTGAGTATATTTGTAAAAAGGATATCCAAGGCAATAACAGAAAAGAGTCAGATGCATGAGATGAAAAGTAAGACGATACCAGATCTGACTGATTCTGGAGGGAAAAGAGAGGAAGGAATAAGTTCATATGTCAAGTAATGAAAGATGAATTGAAATATGGGGCTTTTTAAATTATTGCTGTTTTTTTTTCTTATTGCCCCAGGATCCTTCCTTTATCTACTCATTCTGAGATATATTTCTAACACAGTAAATGAAAAACCACTACAGAATAAGAGAACAACATGTTACATAATTTGTTTTTAGCTTCAAAAGCAATGTTCTAGAACAAAGATTTTGGAAGAGTACTTACAGAAAGAGATTACACTCTTCCTCGTCATGCCTAGCTGATGACAGCCTTTTGAATAGGATACAAAGATTTCCTAGAGAAGCATCAAAAGGGTTAAATGCATAAGGAGAGAAGACTGGAATTTGACCCTCTCCCCCAGGGTGGATAGCTTGGGAAGACAGGTTGGAGAAAAGTATGACATTCTAGATATACCACATTAACTTCATACTCTAGCATAAGAAAAAAAAAGTGGTGAAGTGGGTTTCTTCATGTAATAATGATATTGGGCCAGTAGTTACAGTAGTTAGACATGGCTGAGTATGCACCCAGGGAACAAAGAGGTTCTAATGTCAGTTCTGAACCTACCTTAAGCTCACCAGTGAGAAGTAGACAAACTGTATTCATCAGCTTTTCATCAATGTAACAAAATGGCAAACAGACTCTATAAAGAGCTTACAATGGGCCAGCACTGTTGTAAGGCCACTGCCTGCAGTGCTGTCATCCCATATGGGTGCCGGTTTGAGTCCCGGATGCTCCACCTCCAATCCAGCTCTCTGCTATGGCCTGAAAGGAGTAGAAGATGGCCCAAGTCCTTGGGCCCCTGCACCTGCATGGAAAGACCTGGAGGAAGCTCCTGGGTCCTGGCTTCGGATCGACACAGCTCTGGCCATTGCGGCCAACTGGGGAGTGAATCAGCGGATGGATAGAAGACCTCTCTTTCTCTCTCTTTCTGCCTCTCCTTCTCTCTCTGTGTAACTCTGACTTTCAAGTAAATAAATATGTCTTTTTTTTTTTTTTTGACAGGCAGAGTGGACAGTGAGAGAGAGAGACAGAGAGAAAGGTCTTCCTTTTGCCGTTGGTTCAC